CCAGTGAGCGGACCGGTCTCTATATGGGATCCGAACCCTCGGCGGGAGCGCCACCGCGCTCCAAAGCGCCGCACTCTACCAAGTGCGCCACCGGGCCAGCCCTCCACTTTTTTTTGATTAAAATTCAGTACATAAAACTGCCATGGTATTATTAAAACCATATAAGAAAAGTAGAAAATAAGATACTCCAAAAAAAAGGTCCATTTAACCGCTTGCCTTTCCCTCTGGCCAAAAGCCCATCACCAAGGCCAGGTCAGTTCTGCAAGGCCTTGTCCTGCCCAGAGGAGGGGCAGAGCCTAGAGGGCAACCTAGAGGCTCAGCGGGCCAAGGCTCCCACTACTCACAGCTCCTCGGGCTCCTAAGCTGCTGACTTGCCAAGTGCAGTAAGAGGGAGTAGGATGGAGAAAAGTTCTAAGTTCTAAGACACTTTAGAAAAAGGCAGATAAGCAAGAAAACAGGCAGACTAGTTTTATTCCACCACAAGGAAGAGGCGAAGCCTGGTTTTATGCTGAAGCAAACACGCACAGTATGTTTTAAAATGGGTGGATGTTAGGGTTAAACTTGAGCCAGTGGTTTTTAACTAGGGCAACTTTGTCCTCCAGGAGACATTTGCTGAGACAGTTTTAGTTGTCACAACTGGGGGCGGTGGGAGTTGCTAATGGCACTTACTCAGTGGAGGCTACTACTAAACATCCTACAATGCAAAGGATGGTGCCCAAAACAAAGAATGTTCCTGTCCAAAATGCCCCTTGTACCATGATTAAGAAACTTTCAACTTCCTAAGAAAACAAGGCAGCCTTGACTCACTGGGGCCTGTACCGGGTGCTGTCTCAGCACTTTATATGCACCATCCAAAGGCATCCTCCCAACAGTTCTATGAAGAGTTCCTACTCTCTCTGCTTCACAAAAAGGGAAATTGAGGCAAAGAGAAGGCAAGCCACTTGACAAATGTCACACAGTCAGTCAGTGACAGGGTTAAGATTCAAACCCAGGGCAGGATTCTGGCTCCACAGTCTGGCGCTCAGCTGCTCTTCTAGACCACAATTCTAATCACCCAGAGCTAAAAATAATGCAGCAGAGAACTTCAGAGAACCATGCACACCTCCACTCTGACAAAGGTACTACATCATTGACCCACAAATATTGGGGCCAACTAGGATTCTCTTTGCACCCCATGGGATGTTACTTCCTCCAGAGAGAAAACCGTCTTCATCACTCTCATGCCCCAGGTTTCACAGGAGCAAGTTTCAACGCAAGTCCTCATTAGCATTCATTCTACTACTATACTTCTGATACTTTACAATCTGCTTCTTTGTTGTTAAGGATAAGAAAATCAGAAATGTGGTAGTAAAGGTATGTTACACCAAAACTAATTTAAAAATAAACATGTTCACAAAACAAACTCACCTGACTTGACTGTCCAGAAAGGTAGGGTTCAAAGTCATTGTCATGGACTGTATCCTTCTGATGCAAAGAACCATTTTGTACTAGAACAAGAAGTTGCAAAATAGTATCAATAAGTTTTAAAAGATCACTTTTAAGCATGGGAATTAAAGTTAGTAAAGTCTACTTCTATTGATTTCTAGTAGTAATTATACTTTTATGTAAAAATAGGCATAATCGATATAGAACTGTTGTTTACACAACTAGTTAGAATGGTGATGAGGTACTTCCAATAATTTAGGTTATAGTTTTAAGGAAGATTTAGTCATAATTTGATAAAATGCTGACAAAATACAGGTGCAAAGGAAAAATGCAAAAACTCATAACCAGGTTTTGATGACACTGACATGGTCTAAGAAGATCTACCTGTGGTAAACAGGGTGGAGCCTCCAAAAGCCCACCTGCGTGTGCAAGAGCTGAGGACCAGAATGCTGGGAAGGGGCTGCAGCCGCAGCTCACAACTACCTTCCTCTCCACTTATTTTCCACTGCTACAGTGCCTCGCCAGAAAAGGAAAGGTAAAGACAGCACTGGGCCTTCTCCAATCTTAAACACGATGAACCGTATCTGGTGGCCCGAGTAACACAGACACTGGTTAAAACTCTTCCAAGTAGACACTCAAGTGTCACTTACGGATTCGCACAAGACTGAGTTTTGAGGATTTTTTTTTTTTTTTAAAGATGACCGGTAAGGGGATCTTAACCCTTGACTTGGTGTTGTCAGCACCACGCTCAGCCAGTGAGCGAACCGGCCATCCCTATATGGGATCCGAACCCGGGGCCTTGGTGTTATCAGCACCGCACTCTCCCGAGTGAGCCACAGGCCGGCCCGAGTTTTGAGGATTTTATCCCAGGCCAGGCTATCACAGACTGTCACAGACTTCCAGGGCCCGCGGGATGCCTCTGGGCTGGGGCCAGTCCCTGAAGCGCATTCTCCTCTCCATCCTCCCCTTCCCCACCTAAATCAGCGGTCTTGCGGTGGGAGGGAAGCACGGAAACGACCCAAGCACCGTCGCTTCTCCTCGGAGAAGCCCCTGCCTGCGTCCCAGCAGGTCTCTCGGAAACCCACGCGACCGCAAGTGCTATCTCCCCGAAGCTGGCGGAGGAAGGCGCTTCCGGCTCCTGACGCGGCTTCCTGGACCCGCTGTGCCCACATGGCCCGGCCCGTCCCTCCTCCGGCCGGCGCGGGCCGCTCACCTTTGTTATCTTGTCCTTTCGTTCGCTGCGTCGCCGCAGGCCGGACCGCGGGCAGACACCGCCAGGGGAGAGGAGACACCGAGTGACCCACCGGGATCCCTCTGCCCCGGTGACCCCGGCCCCAGCACCCAGCCCGGCCCCAACCTCCGCGACCCCAGCCCCGGTGACACCGGCCCAGCCCCCGGTCCTGGCC